GGCATGGAGGGGACACAGGGATGTGGAGCCCCAGCCAGGCAGGAAGGATGCCTGCGCCCTCATAGCAACCTGCCAGGCAAGGCGATGCCACACACCCCAGCCCCTGGGGACAGCCACCACTGCCAGCTGCGGGCTGAGCCACATCACCCAGGTGGCTTTTCCTGGGATAGTGTGCGATGACACAAGGCACTACATGACCATTTTTTTTGTACCAGCCTTGTCCCACTCCAAGACCACTGGAGCCAGCACAGCACCCACTTTCCCAGCAAGCAACCAGCCCAGAGCTGGACGCAAGATGTGGCACCCAGCCAGAGTGTCCCCATGGGGCACAGGAGTTCAGCTACCCCAGGGCTGGACACTGAGCACCCCTGATGGGCAGCATCCTTCCTGCACCTGCATCCTTTTTTTGTACCAGCCTTGTCCCACTCCAAGACCACTGGAGCCAGCACAGCACCCACTTTCCCAGCAAGCAACCAGCCCAGAGCTGGACGCAAGATGTGGCACCCAGCCAGAGTGTCCCCATGGGGCACAGGAGTTCAGCTACCCCAGGGCTGGACACTGAGCACCCCTGATGGGCAGCATCCTTCCTGCACCTGCATCCCCAAAGGAACGAGAGCAGCCAGCTGCAAGCAACAGTGTCAGCCAACGCTGCCGATTCAGCAGCCATGGTGCCGGGCAGGAGGGATTTGCAGCACCGCAGGACAGAGCAAGGTCGAAGGCAGCACCTGCCCCAGGAGGGCAGCAGAGCAGCAGCCACGGCCAGGACCATGTCTCCATGCTGCTGTGACCACGGTGCTTGGACATGCATCCTCGCAGCTGAGACCAACGTGCACAGCAAGACTCCCAGCCGGCGCCATCCCCACAGCCCCACTCACAGCAAAGGGGAAGAGGCTGGCTCAGGATCGGAGCCAAGGGACCCAGCCGCAGCAGGGAGTGGGGACAGGTTGTGGCTGCCCCGTGCGGGCAGGCGTGCCCGGCAGCCTTGCCCAGGTAGGCAGGGGCTTAAGCCTCGTCTATTTATTGCTGCCACCCAGCTGGGCCCCGCAGCCTCTAATCACCTCCTGCCGCTCTATTCCTGGCCCCTTGTGCAACTCTCCGCAGCAACACCGCCGGACAGGTCTGGCTGCTTGCTGAGCCCGGACTCGAGCCAACAGGATCTGGCCGGCAGCCTGCCTGCCTCCTGCCCTGCCTTCAGCTCAGCCCCCCCTCCCCACTTTGCCCTGGTGCAGGGACCCCCCAGGCAGGAGGCTGTGCCCCAGAGCTCGCTCCATGCCTGGCTGGAGCTCCGAGCAGCCCCAGCTGGTGAGTCCTGGAGGGTGGCTCAGCCCCAGGGGAGATGGCAGCCAGATGGCATGCAACACCGCTTCCAGCAGTGCTGGCTGGTTCCCTCCTGGGCCAGGAAGGGTTGTGATGCTGCATGCCACTGGCATCCCCTGCTCCTCCTGCTGTGGCAAGCTGGCCACCCCGGGGACAACATTGTCACCTGCTGCAGGGAGCCCTGGCAGGACCCCTCCGCAGGGGGTTGCAGCGAGCCCCAGCCAGGGTAGGAGCCAGCCGGGCTGCTTCGCAAGGCCCCA